GCGAAACTATTTGAACACCACACTCGCGTTCTTTCATTGGATTCCAAGTAAATCCTGGCCGTCAGAATCCCATCACCCGCATCAATCAATGCCCATATGATAGCCCCAAAAATCCAGGCTTGCCGACCCGTGCATCTCTGCGCTGACCCCGCTCAACTTCGACAGGTCAAAGCGTTTTTATAAAGCCATAAAATATACACAAACTAACTTGGAGTTCGAGTTCGCTGGCCTCACGCAGTTGCGCACGTGGCAGAGGGGACAAGGTGGGAAAGCGATGGGGGTGAAAATTGGGTGAATATGGGATATAGGCAGTGGAAGACATGCCCAGAGCCTGGCTCCGTAGACTGTCAACGGCCTGCTCGGGCAACCTTTTTAAACAACTCATAGAACGAGGAGAGCCCCAAGAGTTTGTGCCAGTGGAAGGTCACAGTGTTATCTCTACAAAACTAAGTTTGTCGATAGAACTGATCGCAAAGTTCCTTAATTCTTTATAATCAAGGATAGAATAAAAATCACTAGGTGTTTTACGGTGTACAAAATGATGCTCAATATGGTTAAATAATACAAATTTACACCGAATGTTATACCAGCGAAATTGATTTGTAAAATTATACATATACATTTTATAACTAAGTAAATATAGTAACCATAGGCTATGGGAAAGAAGCGAAGTTGGTTGGTTATTTTTCCTAATAATGATGTTAAAAACGAAACCTTTGTAAACAACTGTGTAACTAGCACGTATTACATTTTTGTCCACTTAACTCTATAAAATTTTGAGACAAAGGAATACATGCTATAAAAACCCAGTTTTCTAATCCATTAAAATATGTTTTTTCAATGTTTGCCAAAAAATGTTAAACGTACAAAATGCGAATTTAACGATATCCTTTGTAACCTCGTATACAATTGCGAATAAAATGATGTTCTTATTTTATTTATTGTTTTGCTACCTAACCATAGCCCTGTGATTGGTATAGAAAACAAATTTTTTTTAAATTTTCTTTAAAAATCAAAATTTTTAGCCAAAAATAGTTTAGTTCAAACAACCCTCGCTTTTCTAGCGACTTGTTTTGAGTTGTTCGTATCCTGGTTTCTTTTTTTAAGGCCTGGTTAGAGGGTCCTGCTTATGTTTGGTTTATGTTTTTGCGGGCCCATTCTCAGTCTCGGACTTGGGCTTGCCCTCGAAAGATTTATGTGCGTAAATTTCATGCTGACGGCATCAGGTGATTTAACACTTTAGATAGCTTGGAACAGTTTATAGGCGGAGACGAGGAGCGAGGACAGGGACAGCAGTGGAGCGGATGGGTGGATGGGTTAGAAAGTTGTATTTTTATTATTTTATTTTATTGCATCTTACATCTTTAAACAAGTTTGCTTTGGCCGCCTCCGTATTGGGTGTGTATTGGGGTCCTTTTGTTCGGAGATCTGCCCTTTGGAATTGATGCGTCTTTTGGGGTCATAAAAATTACAAAAAAATTTCTTTTGCCTTTTTGGGCTGATTGCTGTGTGCGATTGAGCCTCGTTGGTCCTGGTCCCAGGTCCCCTAACGCTTCCTTTCGTCCCTTTTCAGCTTTGTTCCTTTCTACCAACTCCCTCTCTCTCTTTCTCTCTCTCCCTGTTTGTTTGTTGTCCTGATAGGATATAAATTATATTGAGCGCTTTGAATTAGTTTTTTATGTGCCACACATGTAGTGAAAATGAAATTAGATACGTGTTGGGTACGAGTTAATTTGAAGGCAGAGATTCGCCCCCATTCCCGACGGGAGAAACTTTTTCTGATTTCTCTTCGATTGATAACTGCGCAGGGTCTCCCGTCCCGGGGATAGTTAAAGAGTTTACTTTAGTTGCACAATGCTCAACAATTGCGAGTGCCATGGGGAAAAGTTTCCCTGCAATCGCTGCTGAAGCACCAACAATGGCAAGCAATTACCAAAATACAAAAAATACTACAAGAGTGCAGACCAAAAAAGCAAAAAAGAAAACAATTGTAATACAAAAAATGAAAAGGAGATTGCGAAAATTTAACTCCAACACGAAAAGGGCAAGCGCGAAGAAGGAAACGTAAAAAAGCGAAAATAACATCGAATTGGTAAGGAACTGCAAACTGCAAATCCATTAAACCACAACAAGAACAAGATGGCGAAGGACGAGCAGGACCAAATCGAACTCTGAACTGCATCAACAGCTATTGAATCGAAGGAAGGGGGCAACCTTCACACAATTGACTGAAAATTGTTAGTTAAATGTACGGCACACTGTAGCGGACTTAACGCTAAACGCCAAGAAAGACATTTGCAGATGTATTTTTGTTTCCTGGATTAGCTGAGTCTTTGAATTGTGTTTATAAAAGAGACTAACTCCAATGACATTCTTAAAAAATAACATTTAACAAGAACTTGTGGAACTATTTATATCTCTCATTAAAATTATATCAATTTTTACATGTATAGTAATAGTTATATCTTTGTAAAAGGCCATCAAAAAGATAACCGAACACCAAATTGTTCAGCTCAAATATATGGATTCTATACTAATTGCTCAGCCAAACTAGCCACATCAGTCTGTCTATCTCTCAGTTAGTCGGGTTCTAGTATAGTTTACTATTATGGCTTCTATTTCAAAACTTTAAAGTAAAACTCCTTATTTACTCTTTTATATGGCTGCTATGGGAGAAACAATATATTAGAAAATCAAGCATAACTTTTTTGTTATTATACCCTTACAAAGTATAATAATGTTAGTCAGAAGCTTGTAACGCAATAAAGGAGTCATTTCCGACCCTATAAATCAAATATATTCGTGATCGGCATTAAAATCTGAATCGATCAAGCCTTTCTGGCGCAAAAATAAAATTTCACATTTTTTAAAATTTTTTCAAAATATGATAAGAGGTTACATCGTTAAAATGTTCAAAAATTGGCAAAATTTTTTATTTTCTTATATGTTAAATTGAGTATACAGATTATTAACCTAATAAAAAATAACATAAGAAAGCTTTCCGAATTTAAATTTATGCATTTTTTTTTAAGTTATGAGTTTTTTAAATTTTGATTATTCGACAAAAATTTTCAAATAAATATATCGATTTAAAGAACGCGAATTTTTCAAGCTTATTTTTTATAGATTTCCGATTCGGTTATATTCTAAAATGTACTTAATTAGTCTGAAAGAATTCAAAGAGCTTGAGTATTAGCGATACCTCACTTCTGGTAAATCAAAGATTTCTACATGTGCCACATATACGTACCACTTATTCGATTGAGCCACAAGTTTCCATGGTCCTAAGTTCAGGATGGGACATCTGACAATGTGACATTATTGCATAATAAAATATTCCGAGCCAAGTTCTAATGTTATTGTTTTTGTGTGCAACTGACTTAAAGTCAAACTGCAGACAAAGCCATCTTAACAATATCCAATTCCGGCAACAAAACTGCATCTATATTTCACTACGACACCCAAGGCCTTCCTACCTTTCTGCTTAATGTCTAATGTTCCTGGGTTTGACCAATGCCGACCACAAGGAGGCGAATGAGGAAACCCCAAGCCCCAGAAGTCAGTCCCGAGCCAACGCAACCCAACCGAACAGAGCCACCCAGCTATGAAAAATTTAAACTTTGCATCCAAGCCATTTATTCATCCGCCTGGCATTCGCCATCATATCTTAGCATGCGGTTCTGCCTTCCTCCGCCACCTCCTTCCAATCCCCACAATCTCTAGTCTGTATCTTCAAGCATCTCTATCTGACACCGACGAGAGTTTTCCGGGGGGTGGCAGTGGGGTGCACCTTAAAAATTAATTGAAACATCACTACCGGCTAATATTGTATATTAAAAACAGAGTGGACCTTGGTTCGGGATCGGGGGCCAGGGGACCGAAATGGGCCACAACAAGATGGGGGGCATATAAAACTTTTGGGGTTAGTTGAAAGCCGGTTTGCCGCTAGGATGTTGCAAATTGCCAGTGTGCGTTGCCATTTATCAGTCTTAGTTTGGGTTAGAGGCCGTACCTTCCCCAAGCCGAGATGGCGAGAAGAATGTTGAACAATAAATTCGAAGAACATTTTTGGTTGCTGCCGGAGTTTATTAGCTGGCAGCCGGTATGCTGCGGTCAAAGGGCAACCTGAACTTGAATCGAGCCGCCCATGATGCCACCCTGTCTCCACCGCCGCCCTCGTTCATCCATCTTCGTCCGTGGAGACATCAAATCAGTGTCCAGTCTCGGTCTCGAATTTCTTTGAACACTCCGCCTGATGGGGCTGGCATTGCCAGCTCAAAGTTAAATCCCATGGCCACCGCGCCTGCTCAGATGCTCCCAGACTTTTGGGGGACTCTGAGTGCTCGGGTTCTCCAGCTCTCTGGTTACTCTGACTCCCATTATTGCTACGACACGAGCTTCCGTCCGGCTTCGTGCGGCGTCTGTTGCGCCTAGGACAACAATTTCCGTATTGCATGCCACTCGTGCGACATCGGCCTGCGGCTCTTCGCGTGATCTAAAAACGAAGCAACCTCTCGAGGTCGACCACCGTGCCATAAAATGCGCATAATGTGGCACGGATGTGCCAGTGCACGTTTGTTATTCGGCGCGTGAAGAGCGTCTTGCGAAGCGGAGGTCAGTGGATTATAGTGCTGATGTCGCCGGAGGTGCGCGGCCGCATAGCGGCGATATCTCGTACTTAGCCGGCCAGCGGAAACCGTGAAATGGTGACAACAAACCAAACGAAGGCCCTAAGTGCCCAAAAAATAGCATAGCAAATAGTAAAAATCGTGGAAATCGTGGAAATCACAGAATTCGCTGAGTAGGAGCAGGAATTTCAGTGCTGCCTGGTGCCTGGGTAGCGTGGCAATCGCGCGGTGTGTTTGCCCAAGTGAAGCCCATAGTGAAGTGCTAATCAAACTTGAGTAGCTGCTAAAGTAAGCAAAAGTAACCGAAGCACATGCAACAACTGGATACGGATACGCTTTTTGAGCCTTGAACAGCCTCCGCCGACTCTCGAGCCACCCACAAGTCAAGTACGTAACAGATTGATGAGACTGCCGTCTTTGACCCCAGCCGCACTCCATCTCAGAGTGCCCGTCATCATCATCCACCATCCAGGGCACCCACTGGCCAGCCAGCCCACTTCACTAAAAGTTCAATTTCCTGCAAGATGCTTTAATTGAAGCGCACAGTAAACAAGACGAGCAGAAAACAGAGCGAGCAACTGAAGCGGCAAACGGCAGGCGGCAGGCGGCAAGCGACAAGGGGGCATGGGTCAGTCAGCGTCGCTTCGGGTACCTCGCTCTGGTCAGTCATTAGTCATTTGCTCATTTCCGGAAAACGCAGCCCGGATGTGCAGCACTTGTCAGCCAATAAACAACCTCGGTGGAGCGGTGGCTGCTCGGTGGGTTGGATGGGGTTTGGCGGCACGACTCGTGCTTCATACACACTTACAATTAAATATGGCAAACACATCAATGTCAATCAACGATGATGGTGATGGAGAGTTGGATACTCCTGCTTTTGTAGAGTCTTTTGCATCAGATAAAGTCAATCCTTAAGTGCAAACGTAGCTTTGCATTATAGCAAGTACCTGAAAGCACTTTAAATGGGCTTTTAACTATTTGCGAACATCTGGAGAATGTTACAATTACTGCGCGATTTTATCGCAATATATACACATTGCAAGAAGGTGTGTTAAAGATTAATATTTAATTTTCTGGGGCTTAAATTTAGAGTGAAGTTTCATAACAACAAAAAGTCTAAGTACTGAGAATGCAGTAGCTTGTAGGTTTTTATCTAAGTGAAGATTCTTGCTTAAATTTACCGAAACCCGAGTGCTTTTTCAACAGAAAAAATTATACATATACGAAGGATGTTTTATTTTGTTCTGGTTTTTAAATTAAACAAGGAAAGCATTTTGATCTACCTATAACCCTCAAAACGTGTTTGTTTATATTAATCAATTCTTTTGCATTTGTTTGGAAGAATATATTTGAATAAATTGGGAAAAAATATTTGGCGTCTGCTAACTAGCGTCCATACTGAGGATAAAGTTAGGATATAGTCATCTTTTTAAAATTATTATAATATTTGGATTTAATAAGTTGAGACTTGATTCATAAAGATCCCTTATTTGAAGGTCCCATATTATTCCGATCCTAAGTTAATTTAAAACTTTACTTTTCGTGATCCGATTTCAAAGGTTGCTAATTCTAAGAAACATCACCTACCGTGCCTTCAATATTTGCCTTATGGCCTGACATTACAATTCCCAGATTTAAAGATGACATCAAGAAAAAGTGGAACGAGGCGTAACAATCGTGGGGGAATGGGCACAGCTGGGGTATGTGGAATAAGGGCTGGCCACTGTGTTTGTATATGTGTCACATATTCAGCTTCTTGGACAACAATAACCAAGGCGGACGAGAGCAGGACGCATCGCTCAGAAAGAGCAAAAACAGCGCATAGGTGCTAGAAAAAAAAGAAGGACGAAAAACAACAATGATATGGAGGCGTAGGAGGCAGGATCCTGGGAGAACAAGGGGGAAGTACCCAAGCTAACCCAGTTTTTTCGACTGCTGCTGCTGCTAGTGCTGCTTCTTCACGGCTCAGTTTTGTTTCTGGCCGCTTTTTCTGACGCTGCAGCGGTGGCACGAGTATATTTCTTTTTATGGCTTTTACTGGCTGCCCGCAAAACGACGACAACGAACCTCAGTAACAGCAGGCGAAACAAAAATATTTCGCCCAAAAAACCGGCAGGCCCGGCCCTTACACCCACCCATTCTTTGATGAAACCTGTTTTGTAATTGTCGTTTTTTATTCTGTGTATGCGTGCTGTTGGGGAATTCTTTGGGCTTCCCTGGTCTCTCGGCACCGACTTCTTGCCCGGGCCATTGTCACGTAAATCTGTGACAGAAATTAGCCTCGTTGACAAAAATATGCCTGCTTACACATTATTTGTACAAACAAATAGACGGGCAACAGTTAATGGCGTGAAGAGTGTCGTCCTCCAAGGAGGGAATTGAGGCTCCTGTGGAAATTTGCATGGGAACTGCGCCAGTTGCTGCTGTTGTTTCTTGGTCGGCTTTGGTTTGTTTGGATCTCCTTCATAGTTCTGGCCCCATTCATAGCTCCTTTGCCTTGTTTTATTGATCTGTTTATGCTTTGCCAGCCCCAGCGCCCATCTCCCATTTGCAACCTCTGTCCAACCCTCATCATGGATAGACAAACAACAAAAAGTTTTATTTGTGGACTAATAAAAATGCAAAAAGAGGGAGACTGAACCGCAAATGTTGTTGGTGTTTTTTTTAGGCAAAGTTATTCTGAGGTTAATGACCAGACAGGCGTGAAAGTAATCATAAATAAGGTCCACTCTTTTCACCCACACTTCACACCCGGAGTTAATTTACCTTGACCCAGGGTCAGTCTAGGCTGTTTGTTTATTTCCCTGCTTCCCTGAAGGTCGATAGGAATTATGTTCATTATAATACAGACTCTATAGAGTTGAAGTATTTTTGATTACAATCTGAAATCGTGACAGGATTAATTTTATATTTAGTGTTAGCTATACCCTTGATATAGATTTTCTTGTTGTTCAATAAGTATTAAAAGTTTTCATGATAGTTTTAATATAACATAATCAATTTAAAAGTAATTTGCAATCCATCGGAGCTACTCAGTACATCCGGAATGTCAAAAAGGAAAAAGGAGTAGGAAAATAATGAAAAAGTTCAAGTTGAAAGTCAACTCCTGAGCAGTTCCTGATGTCTAACATTTTCAATCAACTCAGTCCCCTTAATTACTGAGACCAAATTTCAACCATGAAAGAATCCAGAGTCAATCTATCATGTTATGGGTGTTTTCCTGATTAACACGAAACTTTGGCCAGGCCGTGCAGTAAAATGATTGATGTCCACTACAAAATTTTTTAATGTATCGCCTTCAATACCACACCCCCTTCGTTCGGCATATTCCCATACACATACACGCCACAATCCCGTTTTGATGAGGGCCAAAAACCTTGACTAGACCAACACGAGGCTTTTCTGTTTATCGAACCATTCAGTTTTATGTCACTGCGACTGATTGATTTTTAATTAAACGCCCAGCATTTCACTGATTGACGCTAATCATACGCTTGATGGGCTAAAGCCTGGCCACGCCCACACTTATGGTGAGGAGTAAAAGTGAACAATTTCCACATTAATTCGAGCCCAATTCGAATAAATTGACGAGGGAAATTAGATCTTTATTGTATGAGGCGTTGCCCCACCCAAGCCAATTCGAACCCGTGAAAATCGAATATCATATAGATAGCGACCAGATCCATTTACGCGACTATGCTAAAAGGAAAAAGGGTGGAAAATCCGCTTCTAGTTCTTTTTATTGAATTGTCAGAGAGGGAGAGGAAAAACGGGTGGAGAAGACCTGGAACAGACCGACATAAATAAACCTCAACTAAGTCGTGTGTTTTGACATAGATTTAAATTGACATGGTTGTGTAAACCAGCAGGGGAGGAGCATACGAAGCCTGTAGACACAAATGCAGAAAACAGACGGAGCCTCGCTCACACACATTCCTCATTGAAAGCCGCACAAAAATTCCCAGCGTTCAAGGCATTCCCTGGAAATCCCAACCTCGCTTCCCTTACCAATACGGAGGAGGTCGAGAAAAAAATAAAATAAAAATGCAAAATAGTTTGTTATTTAACATATTTGACGGCTGCCCTGGCTGCCTGTCGCTGCCGGCTCGTAAATGTAAATTGGCCGGCAGATATGGAGATGATGACAAACAGGCCCAAAGCCCATAGCCCAATGCCCAAGGCCTCGCCGAGCCATGGCCAAAACCAGAACGCACAACCTGCCCATAGATCCATAGAAAATTCTATCTTGCCATTTGAAACCCTTTGACAATTTTGTTGCTGGCCGCGCTTCGATGGCGCTCGTTTGGTTTTCTCCGGGCCCCGGCAAAAATATTTGCCACGCAAATAGCTGGAAAAGTATTGCCCGATTATGTTTCTCTAACTGGGCACACACGCAGCAGTCAGCAAATTGAAAGGCAAACACGCACGCACCACAGTCGCAAAAAGATGAACAGGCCAAAACGATTTGAGAAGGGATCCACAAAAAAAGAGAAAAAATTGAATACATGGGGAAGAGTGGCAGGAAGAGTCGAGAACCGAGAACTGAGAACCTAGAAAGGGAGGCAGTCTCGTTGCTTTCTATGAATGTCAATTGGTTGGCCGGATGCTCGACGGGATGGGTCTGAGTGGGAATCTGGGGGCGAGGGGCCAATTTAAAAGGGCTTACTTTTTAATGAAGCGAGCTAAGGAGGATGATACCCAACCCGGATAGGAAGCTGAGAACGAACAAAGGACTCCAGCGACGACTATGACAAATGGATGGAGCATATGTGTGGGCAGGAGATAAGTGGGTGCTGGCCATCGACAAAACTGGCAGCTTATTGACGTAGAATAGCAGCGGGAATTGAAATGCTAGATGAGATGCAATTAGATAGCATAAGTGGGAGGAATGATACTCCAAAATGTTGGGGCTTCTATTGGGAAAGTGTGAAGTAATGCAGATGGGTGTGTGTAAGTACAGAGGAGTTGTACTAGCAATCTTTAGGTGTAAGTATCATCATGTCAGATACTTTTTGAAATGAGACTCGGAAGAGGTTTCTCCAGTTTTTGGTTGTGCCTTAAAGGAAAGAAGTCTCCATTGCTATTTGATACTTGGTAATTAACAAATTTACAGTTGAAATAGTTATTTATAACTATATGTAGAGTAAACATAAAGAGTAAAAGCATCTTGTAACCAAGTTTATTTGTCGAGTAGCTCTTTGGCGTTTAATAAATATGTCATGTAGTACCGCCTTAAGATAACTTTTAACTTTTTACAAACTAGTTTGCATTCCTTAAAGTACTACTTTTATAAGGACTCAAATGAAAGCTTCGTATGTGTAATTTATCGTTTGTTTTGATGCTGATATTAGCCCTCTCGATGCGCACTCTTTCATTGGGTTTGCCGC